AGTATACTTCTGACACTCTACAACTTATGCCTTAGGCATAATATTTTTCCTCATGTCTGGAAGAAGGCAAGATTGGTTTTAATACCCAAGGACAAGAATGCGAAAATTTCGTCTCCTAATGGATACAGGAATATCTCCCTCCTACCCATAATGGGCAAGGTGTTGGAAAGAATGATCTTAAATAGATTATTCTGGTTTTTAGAGAGAAGTGAACACTTGCATAGGCAACAGTTTGGCTTTCGCCCTGGCTCCTGCACAACGGATGCCATTACCTCTGTTGTTAATAAAGTAAAAGAACTACTTACTATGTTCCCATATGTCCTGGGACTCAGTTTAGACATAGCTGGAGCCTTTAATTCGGCATGGTGGCCTATGATACTCTTTAGGCTTAGAGAAGATGGATGCCCAACTTATTTACATAATATGATAAAATTACTTAGAAGATTGCTCAGCTACACTTCAAATGGGTTCTATGAGTTGGAAAAGAAAGATTACTCGTGGGTGCCCGCAGGGCTCCGTCCTGGGCCCCACGCTGTGGAATCTGCTGTTTAATAGCTTTTTCACGGAGGACTTTGGTGGTGATGGGTTATGGCCTACGCCGACAATGTAATGTTGTTGGTGTCAGCTAACTCGAGGGCGGAGATTGAGCGTAAGGCCAATTGCATCCTCACTAAAATACAGGACTGGGCAATAGGAATAAACTAGTGTTCAACCCCAATAAAACGAAAGGAATTGTCTTCTCCAGACCTCGGGCCCCTCATTTTTATCGGAGTGCCAACCATAAGAATGGGAGATAAAAGTGTTAAAGTTGTTCCTACTCTGAAATACCTGGGAGTAATTTTACATCACAAACTTTCTTGGATTCCACACATAAAGCAAGCTTGCGACAAAACCAACTTGCTATTTAATGCCATGTCTAGAGTGGCAAAGGCAAAATGGGGCCTTTGTCCAAGTATAATGAATATTATTTATGACTCAGTTTTCCTTCCCATGATCGAATATGCAGCACCGGTTTGGGCTGAAGGACTAGGAACATCACAAATTGATAGGAGGCTTCAGAGTGCTCAGAGGAGGGCTCTCCTCCGCATCTGCAGGGCATATTCGACTGCTCCCACTGTCGCCTTGCAGGTTATAGCTGGAAAACAACCGATCAATTTGCATATTGATACTACGGTGCAAAGATGGAGCATGAGAAAAGGTAATAATATTGATCTTGACAACAGGGTTTATAACAACATCGAAATGCCCCTCAGTGAAATTCCAAGTGTTGCTCCCAACAAATGGCCACTTATATATAATCAACCCTGGTTGGAACAAAACCTGAATATCTTTACCGATGGTTCTAAGAACGATGAAGAAGTGGGGTGTGCATTTGTGGCTTTCCAGAGAAACAGAGAAATATATACTTTCTCAGATAGGCTTGGAAGCACCTGTTCTGCCTTCCAGGCTGAGCTCTGGGCAATTCTGTCAGCAATAAAATGGTGCAATCACAATTTCAACTCCACGGATATTAACATCTTCATGGATTCATGCTCATCAGTGCAAGCCATTTCTAATTATAACTGGCGCCATCCAATAGTCAACTGCATTTTAAATAATTTATTAGAGAACAACAACAGATTCACTGTGATTTGGGTTAGAGGACACTGTGGTGTCTTCGGCAACGAGGGAGCTGATGAACTTGCTCGGTTGGCCGCCGCTTCCTGGGACGATCCTACGTACTCTGCAATACCACAGAGCTATATAATTCAAAGAATCAAAGACTACGCTAAGGACAGGTGGCAATGTTGCTGGAACACACATAACAACACACTAACAAAGGACTTTTTCCCTTTGGTCTCTAATACAGTAAAGACTATTATCTGGAGTAGGATAGCTGTGTGGTTGTGCTAAATTGGGCTCCTGGATTTCGCGCAGTTTCTTCTTGGATTTAACTAGTGTAGTGAAATTTGTTATATCGATCGATTCGGGATTTCGTAAGGACCAAGATGATACCAAAATTGTAAAGGTGAGCTAAGAATTTCGAAGGTTACCGACGTTTGAAGTTTGGGATTTTCGGAACCGAATATCCGGACGGTAGAGATCGTTTTACCGGAAATTCTCACTGGACCTTGTAGACACTTTTAACTGTGAGTAATTCTGAAATTTTGGGGTTCCTAGGACCAGTACTTTTCGTTATTTCGCCATTTTTATCTTTTTTATCGTCGGGTTTCGGCGGGCTCCATCGGGCCCCAGGGTTTCCATCCTTCAACGTAATTGCCATCATTCGGAAGTGGACTGCTTCAGTAACTTTTCATGAAAAATTGGGAATTGTAATCATAATACTTTTTAAACTATAGCAAGTTAAAAATTCAGCGAATTTTGCAGCATTCCTCCATTTAACGGACTTACGTTACCATAGCAAACACCGCGCGGACCGTTAACTGTCTAGGCGTGGCTAACGATCGTTTCAACGTTTTAGTGGCTTCTGGAATTAGTTTTACTTTACGCATTTGTACACAAATTTTAATGGATAACACTTCGGGTACTCTTCCACAGGTGCTTGTTAGACCTATGGAGGAGTCATCCTTGGATAGTTCTTTGCCCCCAGCAACGGATCCTTCTATCGAAAGCCGCANTGACGTGCATCGCAATTTGGTTAATTTCATTGTTGTAAGTCTCTTTGCAAGTAGCGGTGCTGAAGGTCTCAAGATTTATCTCCCCTTTAGCTAACTTGTGCAAATTATATCTTATATTTGTTTCTCTGAACTTAAGGTCAATAGGGAGAGTGTTGTTGAGGACAAGAAGGACCTCTGTAGGGGCTGTCTTGTATGCTTTGGCGGTGTTTATGGCTGACAGCCTTTGGATTGAGAGAAGCTTACGTTTGATGTGGACCCTCGTAACCGATGAGCCCCAGATCTCTGCCCCATACGTAATAATGGGCTCAACAACCGCGGTGTAGAGAATCCTGCTCGCCGAGGGTCCATAGCCCCATTTATTTCTGCTTATCGTTTTGAGCGCTTGGGCTACTTCGGTAGCTTTTTCATAGATGTGATGTACGTGGTCGGTTTAGTTTAGCCGATGGTCGAGGATAAATAATCCTTAGGTACTTGACTGCAGTTGAGTTTTGGATTTTTTTACTGCTTATTTTGATGCTGGGCCCTTTCTTGAGTGCGTTACCCTTTGGAAAAATGATAGCGGTACATTTGGTATGATTGATAGAATGCTTTACCTCATTGCACCATTCTTGGATAACGGCTAGAACTTCGTTGGTCCTATCTTACAGTACTTTCAAGTCAACAACAGATTCACTGTGATCTGGGTTAGAGGACACTGTGGTGTCTTCGGCAACGAGCGAGCTGATGAACTTGCTCAGTCGGCCGCCACTTCCTGTGACGATCCTACATACTCTGCAACACCACAGAGCTATATAACTCAAAGAATCAAAGACTACGCTAAGGACAGGTGGCAACGTTGCTGGAACACACATAACAACACACTAACAAAGGACTTTTTCCCTTTGGTCTCTAATACAGTAAAGAATGACGTGGAGCACTGCCTCACCCAATTTTACACTGGCCATGGCAGGTTTTACCAGTATATCCACAGATTTAAAATATCAAACCAACAGAATTGTACAATCTGCGGTGTTCCCGACGGTTCTCGGCACTATCTTTTAGAATGCCCTATGTTAGACGATATGCGGGCACGCATTACTGCACTTTTACCTAACAATTGCGGATGGCCACCTGATCTTAGTATTTTGATTGGAGATAACAATCTGTTCCAAGCCACTAGAGACCTTATTAAAACATATTTTAAAAGGACCACTGTAATTTAATTCCATATGTCTTTTTAAGTCATATGTTTTTTTTTTTTTTTTTTTTTTTACATGTACTATTGTATTGCCTTATGGCGGCTGTTATTGTTATTTGTTGCTTTATACAATGTAACAAAATATCCAAAGGCTTTTAACCCTACTTTTACCACTACTGGCAAGCGGCCTGTAGTGATTGTAAATATTGTAATTGATGTTTATTGTTTGTTCATATGTTTTCATGTATATTGTGTATCATTCTATACTCTATGAAAATTTGTATTACAAAATGACCTGTTACATCTGTAACATTTATGTATTCTTACCTCGGCTATGCCTAGCGGTGTCGAGGCACTTGTAAATAAAGGATTTAAAAGTGAAAAGTGCCATGACGTTCATGTCTGTCCGCTTCAACTGTCAAGAATTAACGCGATTGGTGAAGTGTAATGACAGCGGGCCAATAGAGGGCGGGGTCCTTGCCATAATGCGGTTTGCGTGCCAATTTTCGTACGTGCGATAATCGAGCCGAATATTCGGCTATTCGACCACGCTCCTGGCCGAATATTCGGTATTCGGCCTCAGGCCGAATATACTATTCGTTACAACACTAATTATTATTGTTATTCAAATACTGTTTTCCAACTTCCTATATTCTCAAAAGGCCCATCAGTGGCCAAGCAGTTCCACCCCTGAACACTGAGAGTTTGGTCATGGGTTCATGCCTCGCCAAGATGGGCTAACCACGTGGAGTTGTCTGGGTTTTCTCCATGTCCGTAATGGTGAATAGGGGCCAGTTACCCTCAAAAAGACCTTGTGGAAGACATTTCTCCCTGTGTAATATTGCATGTCCAGAGAAGGCAATGGGGAATCATTCTGGTATTAACTTCTCCCAGGACATCACTTGGCGTGCAAACTAATCTGTACTAACCTGCACTGGGTGTTCCGGATATGGCACATGAAGAGAGATATTTTCAAAAACTTTTTTCCGAAACTGCTTTATGTAAAAATATTTTTTGGGAAATTTCTTTACATCTTGTTATTTCTGATTATTAAATTTTTATAATTGTTGTGTTAAATTTTTATTATTTTGAGTAGCAATGCATTCACTTTGAAAACATTGTATAATCTAAATATATTTTCATTTATATGATATAATGTAGTTTTTAATGAATGTAAATCAACTAATGAGTTATTTTATTTTTAGATTACACAGTTATGTTTGATGCTAGAATCACTATTAACTCCAGATATTACTGATCAGGATATAATTGAAAGTTATTTTCTTATGGCTGTTTATTGGTCAATTGGATCAGTTTTTGAAGAAAATGAAAGAATAAAATTTGATAGTTTTGTTAAAAGTATTTGTTCTTTTAAAACAATTAATGATAGTAATGAAACTTTTGCATTAGCAGGTATGGTTTATTTTATATTTCATAATATATCTTTGTATTAAACTCTTTTGAAACTTTTTCTTCTGAAATTTTTTCTTATCAGCAAGTTATTGCTAGTTTTTTTATAATACAGTAATGATATGTTGATAAAATTTAAAAACTCAAACTATTTACAATTTATTTACTATGCAAACTATTATTTCTCGTATCATGTTGAAATAATAAAGTCCTAGAGAGTTTCAGCTTTGACTAGTAACAAGACTTTATTATATTGTATAAATGTAATATAGAGAATTTGTTTTAACTGAAATAAAGTCTATTTAAAATAAATAATCAAAATGAATTAAAGCAAAAGGTTGTTAGCAAAAAAATAGAACAGGACAATTAAATGACTTACTGTGGGTACTTAGTATTTCATAGCACGATGATAACTGGGTAATAAAATATTCAAAATAACATGAACAATGCTAAATATACCAGTTTTACAATACATATTTATATCATTTACAGGTGAAATACCTTTAACATTACCAACTTTATATGATTATTACATTGATTCTAATAAAAAAGTATGGATTCCTTGGAATAACTTAATTCAGTCTTTTACGTCATCTTCAACTATTATATATAATGATATACTAGTGCCAACAGCAGAAACTGTACGTTTAAATTGGCTTCTACATCAAATGCAAAAAATTTCCTATCCTGCTATTGTTGTTGGTGAAACAGGAACATCAAAAACTATCACAATTCTTGATTTTTTGAACTCACTTGAAAGTGATAAGAATGTGAGTAATAATTTTAATTTTATTGACATACACTTATATTTTAGAATAATATCTTGGAAAATATTGGTTATAAGATAAGTAAGATGTTTTAATTAAAACTGGACACAAGTAATTAATATTAAATTAATTTAAAATACTTATTTTTACTCACTACAGTGCAATTTTACAAATTTCTAAAATGTATAAATAAAATATATAATATCCAAATTATGTATAAATTTTTTTTAAACAATAGGATAATATTAAAACTTTTTTAACCTTACAGAGGTCATGACTGGTCTCAGATACATTCAGAATAATTTTTAAAATATTTTTGTTTCAAAACAGCAAAGAATCTGGCAACTTTGAGTAGCTACAATTAAAGGACTGGCAACATTTATTAGCTAGCATTGCTTAATCAGTCTTTGTTAAGCAACACTGCACATCTTTCTCAACACAAATTTGTATCTGAGAGATACTGTGACCTATTAGATTTTGTTTTTTTTTTTTTTTCAGAGATATTTGCTGTTTAAAAAAGTGAAGAATAACACATGTCAAATTGACAATAAGAAGAATGTTGGAGAATTGCAGCAGATGTTACTTGAGTCAGATAATGAAAATTTGGTGATTGAATCTGAAAATTAAAGTGGTGTTGACAAAAATCTTATTGTATTTCTACTCAAAATGATAAAATTTTTTCAAAGCATGAGAAGAAGTATTAATTTTTAACTGATTTTAATAAAAAAAAATATAGTCAATATTCTCAACATGTAAATAATAGGTTTATATATATATATATAATCACAGAACCTCTTCAGCATCCAGTAAAACATGGAAGATGAAACAAATGTTTTCAGAATCCACTGATTCTAGCTTCAGGTTAAAACCTGGATGCTGAAGACATCTTATTTAACAGTTTAGGATTAAAACTTCATCTTAAACAACTAAAACCCTCAAACAAAATTATTTCTGATATATAATCACAGAACCTCTTCAGCATCCAGTAAAACATGGAAGATGAAACAAATGTTTAGGAATCCACCTGATTCCACTTCAGATTGAAGTTTATTTCTAATTGGAATGAATCAAATTGAATAGTTGTGTAGCATTCAAATTTGATAAGGCCAGTAAAAGACATGCATTGATTAATCCAGGCTATAACAATGTTTTATATCATGCTCTCAATGCATATAATTCCAATTAGAAATGAACTATTTCAACCAGAAGCTGGAACTGGGGGGATTCCAAAACCGTTTGTTTCATCTTCCATGTTTTTACTGGATGCTGAAGAGGTTCTGAAGAGGTGTTAATATAAAATGTATTTTGTGATTATATATATATATAAAATCACAAAATACATTTTATATATATATAATAATAATACTCTCTCATGGTCGCCACCTGGTCGTGGTGGGAGAGCCCAGTAATTTTACTGAACCATAGAGCAATGCAGGCTGGAGCACAAGCTCCTGGTAGGGACACCCATGCCAGTAAGGTATATGGGGAGAAATGAAGCTAAGAGTGACCACACCCACATTCTGTGGAGATAATTACCATGGTAGTAACCAGATCAAAGTGTGATACCAGCTCGGACGTCGCCTGCGTTAACAAGGTCTGTGTTTGTGGGTTAGGCAGAGGTTCACATTCAAAAATTACGCCGCAGTCTCCCTTGGTTACCGGTGGCGAAAGCAGCGCCAGCCCAAGCATGGCTACTGCAATGCCCTCAGCAGATGTGAGGAACCAACCTAGCCTTAGTATTTCTGTGGCAATGCACCCACAGACCACAAAGGCTGGAAAACCACGCCAACGGATGAAATGGACAACAGAAATGAATGAGTTTATCATCTGTACTTACTACACTATCACAAGACTCGAAACAAACATGACAGCATACAGACAACAAGTACACCATAGATTCACACAACAATATCCTCACCTCACTGTCACCGAACAAAGGGTTGTTGATCAAAAACGAACAATTATACACAACAACCTTATCCCACAAACAACACTTGAACTTATCAAACAACAGGTTGCTGATCAAATACATCAACAGACAGAAACATTTAACATTAATGAAGATCACGTAACCTGTCAGGATAATCCAGCAACAAGCACTGATTACAGCACACACACAACAAGTACCACTAATGATACTGCAGGCACTTCCCCATCCATCACTGATAACGTAGACATAGAATTAGTTAATACGCTCTCACTTATATTTCAGGAAACACTCATTAAATATACTGGTACAGATCCCACACAAAGACCACGAATACCAAAAATCAACACGTCAAAGGCAGTAGGAAAAACACTAGATTATGTAAACACTCACTTACTACCAAACTACATTCATTCAATTTCTACACTTACAGACATTCATACATTAGTTTATGCTGGGGCAGTCACAGTAGTAACACACCATGGACTGAAAATACACTCACAGACAGACACACACAAAACACAATTCTATCATAAGCCTGCCTGGCAGAGAAGAATAGAAACACAAATAAATGACATTAGACAGCAATTAGGCAGGCTGACACAATACACTAAAAACAACATAACACCCAAATTAAAGAAACAACTCAAAAACATTTTCAAGAAAATTAAAACACACACAAAACATGAACATCACAACACACACATTACAGAATACATCGATACACTAAAACAAAAACTCGCAGCCAAAGCACGTAGACTCAAACGATACAAAACATGTACACTACGAAAACAACAAAATAAATTATTCACAAACAATGAAAAACTTTTCTACAGACAAATCAGTACCAAAACAAACACTGATACACAGCACAGTGGCACACCAACAGAAGAAGAACTCACAACTTATTGGTCTTCTCTTTGGTCCAATGCTGTTACACACAATGCTGATGCAGGCTGGATCAAGGAGGAGAACAGAAACTTGCATAACATACCAAGTATGCCCTGTGCTGAAATAAACATACACGACATTCGCTACGCTGTTAACAGAACACACAACTGGAAGACACCTGGTGTAGACAACATTCACAATTTCTGGTACAAAAAGTTTACATCACTGCACCAGGAACTAGCTAAACATCTAACACACATCATCATCAATCCACAAGACATGCCAAAATTTCTTACTCGGGGCATTACCTACATGAAACCTAAAAACAACAAAACCACAGACCCCACACAATACAGACCAATTACATGTCTTCCAACACTCTACAAATTATTGACATCCTGTATCACAAACAAAATATACAAACACGTAGAAGAACACGACATTCTTACAGAACAACAAAAAGGTTGCCGTAGAAATCACAGGGGATGCAAAGAACAGTTACTCATAGATTCAGTCATTCTACGGCAAGCACACAAACAACACCGAAACATACACATGGCATATATAGACTACAGAAAAGCGTTCGACAGTGTTCCACAAAGTTGGCTGCTACATATTCTACACATGTACAAAATACATTCATCACTCATTGCATTTTTCCAAAACACTATGCAGCACTGGAGAACAACACTACATCTCAGGGTTAGTAACACTTCCATACAAACAAACAAAATATTCATTAGGCGAGGAATTTTTCAAGGAGATTCCTTGAGTCCTCTCTGGTTCTGCCTAGTCCTGAACCCATTATCTAACATGTTAAACAACACACAATATGGATACAATATGAGACATGAAAAAACAACACAGTTTACGCTGTCACATCTCATGTACATGGACGACATAAAACTTTATGCATACACACAGAAACAACTTCATCAACTCCTACAAATCACACATTCATACACCAAAGATATACAAATGGAGTATGGCCTAGACAAATGCAAAACACTTCACATAGAAAAAGGAATCCTGAAGAAAGAAGATTTTGCACTTGGAAATGGAGAAGTTATTGAATCCAAGGAAGAGGGTGAGTTCTACAAGTATTTAGGATTCCAACAAGCCAAACTAACAGAACATACACAAATAAAGCAAAGATTAATTAAATTAATTAAATAAATGGCATTTAACCTACTTTGGTATTCTCAAAACACAGCTAAATGCAAAACACACTGTTAAAGCAATATGCACATATGTCATCCCTGTACTCACTTACTCATTTGGAGTTATACATTGGACTCACACAGATCTTGATCAACTCCAAAGGAAAACAAGAACAACACTTACTAAGCATAAACAACTAAATCTGCCACAGAAAGATTAACCCTTCCACATGAAGATGGCGGACATGGTTTGATTGACATAGTTAACCTTCACTACAAACAAATACAGTCACTGCGAGAGTTTTTCTACAAGAAACAAGAAACATTACTGTTACATAAAGCAGTAACCATAGCAGACTCAAATAACACACCATTAAACTTACACTCACATCATACAGACATGACACAATATATAAAAAGCATAGACACCATCAAGCAAAAGGCACTCCATGGCAGGAATCCTTATGACCTGGCCCAGGATTTTGTTGACAAAACTGCGTCAAACAGCTGGTTAGATCGAGGATGCCTCTTTGGGAGACAGAAGGATTCATGATTGCCATACAGGATCAGGTCATAAATACTAAACACTATAGAAAACACACTCAAATATACAACACTCACAAATGACACATGCAGAAAATGATGTGACATTTTCTGCATGTGTGCAATTACTAGCTGTCAGGAATTTCATGTTAGGAAATTCCTGAATACAGGCACTGACACTGACACACTTATTTAATTTTTGTTTTTGGTTGCTATGCCTTGACTCTGGTCCGGCATAGTACACAGCCAGAAACTATACAACACATTACATCTGGGTGTACAGCTCTTGGCACAGACAGATTATTTACACAGACATAATCAAGTAGCAAATACAATACACCAAGAGCTTGCAAAGAAACACAAATTGGCAGACATCCACGAACCATACTACAAGTATATTCCACAGACAGTATTGGAAAATAACACGCACAAAATGTATTACGACAGAGCCATAATCACAGATAAAACAATTTACCACAACAGACCAGACATCACACTCATTGACAAACACAATAAAATCACATACATTATAGACATAGCCATTCCAAACACTCACAATGTACAAAACACATGCACTGAAAAAATTAGCAAGTACACAGAACTCGCCCAGGAAATAAGGCATCTGTGGAGGATGGATAGGGTGCTTATTGTACCTGTCGTTCTCTCCTGTACAGGTGTGATACCACACACACTACACAAAAGCCTGGGAACATTAGAATTGAGTAGAAATATATACATCACACTACAGAAGGCCACTATATTGAATACATGCCACATTGTTAGGAAATTCCTGAATACAGGCACTGACACTGACACACTTATTTAATTTTTGTTTTTGGTTGCTATGCCTTGACTCTGGTCCGGCATAGTACACAGCCACCGGTATCAACCGCGTATAATCCACTAAACCAAACATAATAATAATGAGAATATTGACTATGTTTGTAAATTAATTATTGCAGTTTCACTTCAATGTATTTTTTTTTTTTTTCAATTTTTAAAAATTAAATTTAGTTAAAAATCAATATTTCTTCTGCTCTGAAAAAATTTTTTTATCATTTTGAGTAGAAATACAATAATACTTTTTTAATTTAAACTTTTGAAAACCAATGTACATTTTTAAAGCAAATTATTATTATTGTATCTAAAGATAGACCACAACTTCACTTAGTTTTGACATTGTGAACTCTGCATAATATCAAAATATCAACTACTAACAGCTATTTTTAACTCTGCACAGGGTTAAAAAGGCTTATGATACATATAGAAATTGAGTCCTAAGTATCCAAGATTCTGTATTATTTGAGATGAATTATGGAAGATATCAGAGTTTGTGACTTAATTTTTAGTAATTTATTACTGTTCTGACAGCAATTATTAGTGGTCTAAGAGTCTTACTGATTTCTTACATTTTATTAACAATTCAGACACTTACTGTGGTCCAAGCCATAGGGAATCTGCTATAGAACTGTGGCTGCTTTTGGAACCTTCGAACTCTACTCATACACCTGTGTGCAAGTCATGTAGTCATCTCCTTATGGCCATGGTTCTCAATCCGTTTTCTGTGGAACACAGGTGCTCCATGAAGCCACTTCAAGTGTTCCATGAAAACATCAAATATACAATTAAAAATTGTTGCAAAAGAAAAATCAATACAATGTAAAATAATTATTGTTTGGGAATGTAATCAGCAAATGCCAATGACGTCATAAACTAGCAGGGGCAGATCTAGGTTTTTCGGGGTCTATGGCTTATTGAAGTCCAATGGGATCCATTTGTTTTGTTAGATTAAGAATCTATACATTAGTATTTTAAATTCATTTTTAATAATATCAAAATCAGAGTTGAAATATATTTATTTAATGAAATGGTGCTGAATTACAAACTTTGTATCTTATATAAAAAAACATAAGAAATAAAGAAATATTTACATTGATTAATTACTGACCAATTACATTACATTGATTACAATAAAACAAATAATACCATAAATTATCATTGTTATTATATTATTAATATTAACTATTTTTTACTATACAATAAGTGCTCATTGTTAATGAAAAAGTATTAAAAATTTATGATGATAATTCAATTTTTGTGGGCTTTATACACTTAGGGGTCCAGGGCTTAAGCCCTATTAGTCCCTATGTAGATCTGTCCCTGTATACTAGACTGAGTGCACTCTTGATTTCAAAAAGGTTTGCCAACCCTGCTTGAAAGTTGATGTATTGTAAGTGTCCTATGGAAAAAAATGCCAAAGTTTAGTGTTCTCTGACTTCAAAAAGATTGATAACCATGGCCTTATAGTACTTGCATGTGCCAATGAATATTGATCAGTTTTCATCAAAAATCAGACAACACTACACCACCCTTGCTTAGTGCACTGTCAAAGAGATGCTGTCATTTTATTTGTTTATTCTCTCATGTTCTCACACATGACTAGTGTTGCCAATTGCAGTTACAGTTACTATGGTCTCAGACTTGGATGTTTTATGTAAATTACTGTACTATTGCTCATCTTCTCAACTTTTAATAGCACTTTTCCAGTTTTCTATTGAATGTACAGTACCTTGTATATAAAACATTATCATATATACTTGAGTAATAGTCGATTCCATGTAAAAGTCGACTCCCTTTTATTGGCCAAAAAATCTGGAATTTTTAATAGACCTGTAGTTTTTCATGAACAACAGGGCAACATTTGCCAGAATTTTTTCATTGAGAAAAAAACACAAAAATTAAATATAAAAACTCATGTAATTCTAGTTTCATACTTTTAAAAAAACTGTTACAGAAAACAGACTATTTTTTTCTGAAACTTTTACTACCACACCTGAAATATGGAAGATGATTAGAATTTAAATCTACTTTAAAGTCATACTTTAATTTCCTTGGCATGATAAATTACTACATTTCTTCCTAGCTGGAAGAATACCCTGTGTTATTAAAAAACAAATAGTTGCATCTTTACTTGTAAAGAAATCACTTGATTGTTTTATTTTCATGTGGATAAAACAATTTAAAAATTTTTTTTCCTATAGAAAACATGCCCCTAAGTTGGGATTCATTAATGTAATTTATTGTTTTCATTTTTATTTATTTAGAGATCTGCTACTGATTTAGTACTTTGGATTCTAGCTTGAGTTTCAGCTCCCCAAAAGTAGTATCAAATAACAGTCAACCCCATAAATTTGACTTTAAAATTGATTTTAAAAAATTGATTTAAGAAAATTGACTTTTACATGAGTATATACTGTAATTGAAAATCTTATTTAAAAGAAATTGTAGAAATCAATTTTATTAAATTTTATTTTTTTTTAATAATCTTATTTTTAATGAAACTCTTACTTTTCTTATGTTGATTTTTTCAATAGATGTTACTTATTTTGAATTTTGCATCATACACATCATCAATAAGTGTTCAAAAACGTTTAGAAGAAAAGATGGAGAAACGAATGAAAAATATTTATGGACCATCAGTGGGAAAGATACTTACAATATTTATTGATGATTTAAATATGCCAAAGGTATAGTATACACGTATTTTTTAGTGTATAGATAAAACATTTTTATCTATAATCTTATAATAATAAACAATCCTTTTTTATATTTTTTTGGGGACTTTGGAAAAAAAGATACTTATAGTGTCTATAGATGCTGTAAATATGCATTCCTACACAATCTAGTTTAATTGAAAATAAACTGTATGAAGAGGTTCTGTTTCTGTTATACAAAGTCAATACCAGAGTCATCAAACTTGCCAAATGAGTAAGAGACAATCTGAAAAAAGGTCATGTTAGAAACCTACAATAGAGCCTGATGAGGCAAAAAGTGCCTAAATGCAAGTTCATCAATAAATACAGTAGTATGCTGGGATATCTCTCCTTTTAAAGTTTTTAGGATGCCTTTCAGTTCAGGCAAATGTATGCACCTCCACTACTCAACATGAAGCTTACATGGATGCTAACAGGTGTAATGATTCTGAATGGGTCTCAATTACATACACAGAATATTTCTGTTGGAAATCATCTTTTCTGGTCTATGTGTGCGCTATTAAGAATAGGAAAAAACTATTTTAGAATGCTGTAAAAGTCAGCAAGGAATGGATGATGAGATAGGAATTGTGGAGCTGAAAGCTGACAAAACTAAAGCATAAAGCACTGTTACTAACAAGAAAGGCAACTTATAATGCAAGATTGAGTGTTTACATTACAACAACTGAATGTAGTAGAAAACACACAAGGAAGGTAAATAATTATATCCAGTGCTTGACAAATACAGTTCACCTACAATCCTGTTAGAGAGACAGATATATTATTTTATCACTTCTAAAATAGGAGTAGGCCTACCCATTTACTGTATTTGATCCAAGTCAATTGTCTACCAGTTTGAATATTATCTTGATCAAAGAAGAATATTTTGGATTTTATTTCATTATGTCCATCCATTAGAATTGAACCATGTTTCTTTGAATTATATAACATTCTTTTCAACACCATCTTCGATATGCATTCTTAACATCATGACTTATTTGAATTAGCACATTTGTTATGCTACTCTCACTTTTTCAATTTTAACCTTATAAACCTTACTTGCAGAACCAGGGTATATTTATTAGAAGCCCAATTTCTGGAGATTTGTGTGATTTGTTTTACAAAAGTCATAGCATTTTTATACTCCCTGCCTTCTTAAATTAAATCATCTTTTATATCAAGTACATTAATGATTTGTTTATTTTGTAGCACAAAAAATGTAATATAGAGAGTATTTTTGAACACAGTTAATAACAATCTCTTTAGTCTTACATTCAAGTGCAAGCAGAAAAGCCATATAACTGTGCATTTTTGTATTTATTCACTTGTATTTATCCTTATATATGAGAGTATAACTATCTTGCTGTGTAGGAAACTGGAATGCCATTCTTTCTACATTCTGGCAGTATCTGATTCTCTCAGGTTTAAGCTCTCCTTTACAGGTCTCATTAGACATACATTTCATCATTGCTCCAGTCTTGCATACATCTACCAAGAGTTGGAACATACGAGAAATTGCAAACTAGTATGAATGATTGAACAATTCATTAGCAAATACAGGATTAAGGATTCAGGCACAAATGCAAGTTAAAGACAGGTTATACAAAGGTATAACAAAACTTTAATCAAACATTAAAAAGCATACATAAGGAGAGTGCTAGGGTAACTAACACAAACCTCTGTTTTAGAAAGAATCCTACTATATACAGTTTAGATGATAAGAAACTATAAAGACTAACAAGATATGTCCAGAATCCTCAGAATATACAAGGTTCCATTTCAAGATCGCTGATTTGGCACATCACTTGAATACATAGGAACTATATCACACTCACTATATGCTAGATTAAAGGAACATGAATAGACTGTAAAAAAGGCATTTCAGCTACCATACTGTGTTGTATTGTGGCTGTCTGCCATATGTTTTTTTTGTTGTATATAATTGTATATAGTATAAGAGCTCAATTTTCCTTTCCTAAAATTCTTCTCACTTATAATTTATGCTTTTCCTGTCATGAGGCACTGTCTTTATCTTTGGTGGGCCCTGATTGGCAACAAGAAGAAAGTGGTGAATAATGGGTCCCACATGAAGGAACCTGCAGGAGAGAGTGAGAGAGTTAGTCAAGGTTTTGGTTGCCGAAGAGTTTGGATGTCAGATCATGACTGAGGAACGATCGTGACTAGGGTCTACGAGTATTAGTAGGAGCAACTGCCTGAACAGGACTGTAACAAGAAGTTACAAATTAGTAAAATACTGGAACCAATAAGAAAAGTCAGACTTTCTCCAAGTGTGAAGCGTACCAAAACTTAGGACTATGTGTAACGGAACATGTACAATATTGTAATCCAGCTACCAGATTAATAAGAGTGGATAACTGAATGAAAGAACCTTTATCCATGCCTTCCTGTAACCTCAATTCTAACACAGATATCATATAATTGTCTGACAATGGTTTGGATGAATCTAACTGTGACCACCTTGAAACAAAGCAGAATATCGATGATTGCCCAACAATTTACATCTAAAATACCGGTACCTTCTCATTCTGATTCTTATTCTCATTCTTATCATTCTTCCCTTCTCAACCTTAGTTGTAATTAGTTATAGTTTAGTTTTTAAGTACATCTGCAATTTACCAACTTTTTGTCAGAAGAGACTCGATAAGGAGTGGAAAGTGGTTGTAACTATGTCTTGTACTTTCCAACAAGCTGGAATCTGTAATCTGCTCCCTCAAAATTTGTATAATAAATGCACATTGACTTGTTCTTTTGTCTGGTCTTCTTGTTGCACATATTTTACCCTCTACAGTATATGCCTCTGTACTGGAGATCCAAGTTGATTTTTTTTGGACTTTTTTTGTCCTGTGGGCACTAAGATTGCCTTTTATCAGGCCATTATGAGTTCAGCCAGGCCCACAATGGTGCAGCCTGGTGGTGAGGGATGGGGCTTGATGTATCCAGGACAGGCCATCTCCTGAAAAATTTCCTGTTCACTTGGACTCAATCTCAGATATCTCAGATCAGTAGGTTGATGCCTTAACTTCCTCAGCCATCTTGCTAGCAATCCAAATTGATTTACAAGTACAAGCATTAGTTTGATTTGTCCAGCTTGTAATTTCTCTGAATTAAAATTCTTGAGCTTAAAAAACTACAAATTATTAAATAAACCAAGTATATAAACAATAAAGATACAGAAGGCATTTCCACAACATGGAAATTATTATTATATGATATTCTATAACCACAAAAGCATATGTTATGAATTACTAAATATTATTCAATATTTATTTTTTTTTTATTACTTTAAACTGTTATACTGTATTTCCAACTTGTCATTTTTATAATATGTAGTTTTATTGTTTTCCATTTGATCAGTTTTTCTTAAATTTGGAAAGGTTTATTACATCTATTTATACTTTAAAATATTTTTCTAAATTTGTTATAACATTTTATATTTTTCAAATTTGTAAGCTATGTTTAGTCTGTCTGTGTTTTGAAACTGATGTTCAGATAATTCTAATATATGATATAGTCTAAAGAAGGTCTTTGGATGAGATCGAAAAGATTAGCAATAAATGAAGTTTTTGCTAGAATTTATGTTGGTTTTTTATTGATTTTAAATATTGTCCAGTTTTTTTATTTAAATTCTTACAAGCTGATTTTATTTAATCTGTAATTAACTTTCCTAATTACAAACATTTATGTTTTTTTTAATCACAGGTTGATGAATTTGGCACACAACAGCCTATTGCTTTGCTAAAATTACTTATAGAACATAGAGGTATATATGATGTTGATAAATCAAAACGTTGGAAGAATTTCAAGGATTTTAAATTAATGGCAGCTATGAAGAAAGTAAATATAGCAGTTTTAAGATAAGAAATAAAATTGATCTTATAATAATTTTTCATTTATAACAATGATATTGTTCAGAAAATTCCATACAAATCGCGTTGAAGAAATTTTTTTCTTGATAATTTAATTTAATTGTAGAATTAAATCAAATTATTATACAATTGTATCTGAATTTATAATTAAAATGTAGTCAAAAATTTTAAATCTAACTTATAACATTATTTATTTCATTTTTAACTATGTAAGTATTTTTAATTTTTAAAATGCCTTTTTCAAATTCAGAATACAAAATAAAGAATAGAATACAAATATAATAGAGTTCAAAATAGTTTTCATATTTTTTAAGCATTCTAAAACATGAATGTATATAATATAATATACTACCTAAGCAAGAATATAATTATAGTACAACTAAATATAAACGGTACAAATTAATTAAATAAATAAATAACAAACAAATAAATTAAATTTTTGGTTCTTAAACCCAATAACCAACAACAGAAGTATTATATATTAGCCAATGTTTATTTAATAATTAATACTCCAGTATGCATTTATGTGTAAAGATCAAAAAATGAATAATAATTTTGGGAGGAAATTGATAGCTCATGACCTGCTATTTAAATGTAACTTGTGAAAATAGGGAAGAGAGTACTAACACTGACTATCTATTGCTTAATATAGATAGTCAGTGTAGATTAGTTTCTCAAATGCTCATTGAAATCTAATTTAAATAGCAATGTCATCAATGATTTGTGTCATGACATCTAATGACATGAGTGATCTCAGCACCACTAACTTCTGAATCGATAGTCCAGTTGTTGATTTGTTAGACTGTTGACTTTCTTTAACATAGGAAGTATAGGGAGTTAACTGTCTGCATATTTATAATCTATGGCTGGTTCTTGCTGAGTAGCTTGTTTGGCAATCAAGTTATCATATGGCAACAGAGACAAGTATGAGTTCAAAATTTTGTTTGTGAACTGAATTATTCAAAAACCAAGGTTTGGCTGTATAAGTATGAATAAAATAATTATGTAATAAACGTTGAATAATTTATACTCATTTACTCTTTAATCCAACCCTTTAGTATGCTGATTGTGAATAAAGAGATTTTAATTTATTCCTATCAGACAGAAATTTTTTGTCCATTATATTGGGGTCTGTTAAATAAAGGGTTTCTGTACATTTTAGAATTAATTAAAATACAAATAAAATTAATACGGAAGGAAATAATATTTGACATCATTTTTGTAACTATGAATAAATAACCTTGCTTAGTGTAAAGAACTATTTCATAAATTTGCATACATCTGTGAACAAATAATTCTTTTTTAAATCATTCTTAATTTATTATTTTATTTTTACAGGGTATTGGTGGGAAAAATGAAATTGATCCAAGATTTATATCTTTATTTTGCTGTTTTTCTATGCTGCCACTCTCAGATGATTCTATTTTCCATATATATTTTTCCTTATTAGAGAAGCATACAAAATTTTTTCCATCAGAAATATGTGATATTGTTTCTTCAATTACTAAAACTACAATATTATTATATAAAACAGTTTGTCAATTACTTTTGCCTATACCAACAAAATTCCATTATTCATTTAATATTAGAGACTTGACACGTGTCTATAATGGTCTTTATCTTGCAACACCAAAATATTACAGAACACCTGCTGAATTCATACAGTTGTGGAGAAATGAATGTTTGAGAGTATTTCATGATAGATTATCAAATGAAGAAGATTGTAAGATCATAACTGTAAGTTTACTATTACTAATTGTTTTATCAGAATTTGTTACTTTTATTGAAATTCAGAAGAATCCAAACAAATTCAGTATATTAAAACTGTATATTCAGAAATCAAATGATATGTATTAACACACAATTGTGGCTGTTCACAATATTTTTAAATCTTTATTATTCTTATGTATTTCTAAGAACATTTTCTTTGTTTTCTGTATCTCCTTTGTCTTTAATTTCCTTGTTGTTGGCAACCTAGATGTGTTACATATCCTCTACATGATAAAAATCAGTCAAATGGAGTGAAATTAGAGAAAGAAAAGGGTTCAGGAAGAATAAGTTTGAGTTAGTATAGATTGGGACTTTAGTATGAGACCTTTGAAATATTTTTGTAACATTCAGAATTTTCTAGATTATTTTGTATTTTGTTGGAATTAATAAAATTTTGATGAAAAAATTAATTAAAGTTAAAGATAAATAATTAGAGTTGTTAATTTGGTTAATTGTAAATTTCTTGTTATAGTGAATACTTTTAATTACAGTTAATTCTGAAAAATTTTAATTATAAGAAGTACCAAGTTCAATATTTTACAAATGCCTTTATCAAAAATAATAAAACAAATTATTTATTTTAATATTTTTTATTCACTGTTTTTGAATAATAGAGAATTAATTTAAAGTTAGAAAAATCATAATTTAAAAAATGCTATATGTTGTTTAATTAATAAAATTTTTAAAGTACATGGCATGTTCTGAAGTTCTAGTTGACAAGATGGAAACAACAACTTACTTATTTGAACTTACATTTATTGTCATAGGAAAATGTATATGTTAAAAATAGTTGTAACTATTTACCTTTGAAGTTCAGACATTTGTCATAGCAACAGATGATTTTCCAAACCTTCTTCAAAGAAATCTTTCTGCAATTTACAAACACAATCTTGCACCAGTGTCTACACTGTTGAATTGTTGTCTTTCCAAAAATTTCTTCAAATGCAAAAATAAGTGGAAGTCAGAAGTGCTAGATTGGGACTAGGGTTTCTTAAATGGGATCCCGGTCATTTTTTTTAACCTGGGAAATATCTCAGGAAATCTCGCAAATTTCTTAAAAGTTTACTTTTTTCTTATTTTGTGTTAAGGTTGAGGAAATTTTGCAAATAGAAAGTATAATTAACTCATAAACTGTCAGAATACATTTGTATTTATTAATTTTAAAACTACTTATTAGTTTATTTTAATTTTTCCTCATTATGGCATATCACAAATGGTCAATAATCAATATGTTGCTAATTTGTGGCAGGGCTCTGAAAATTCTTTTCTTGTCTGAACCTGTAATATCTGGAATAATTGTGCTTATTCTGTCTTAATATTTAACCATGCCCAGTAGCTTCAATAACTGCGTAATGCCAGGTTGTGCAAATTGGGCAAGGATACAAACCAGTATGAAGTCTGCAAGTATGAAGTTATCCAAGTTTGGATCCATAAGTTAAAAGGAGACTTTTTGACAAGGGTTTACAAATACTTATCTGTCACTTTGACAGATGTTTGAACCTCAAAGATGAATATGTTGAAAAATACAGTGGCATGTGGTGACATTTGATGATATGGAAGCTGTGTTTCCATAAAAATTATAAACAAATATTGAAAATGACAAAAATAAACAGTTTATTTATTTTAATTCCAAAATAGATACATTGACATGAAAAAAAGATATAAGAACTTTCTTATGAAAATTATCCACAATATGTATTTACATTTTAGAAAATACAAGGGAAGTGGTGCTTCCACAGCTTCCATGGACTGCATGCCACTGGAAAAATATCTATAACTATATACTTTCCTATGGCAATAAATGAAAGTTCAAAGAAGTAAGTTTTTTTTCCTTTCTAGCTAATTAGAACTTAATTTCTGCACATACCTCAAACATAATTCTGAAATTGGAAAATTTTGGAAAAATGTCTTACAGAGTTTGAATAGCAGTTGCATATGTAGCATTTGTAAAATGGATATTGTTTTATAAATATTATAGTATATATATTTTGAGGAAAATATACAATTAACAAATATTGATAATATCAGAGAACTGGAAAGAAGTATGGTTGTGATCATTTATAAAAAAAAAAAAGAAGTTAAAAAATGCAGAAATTATACAGGTATAAAACATATATATTGTACATTGAAAAGTTAGAGGAGACTAGATTATAGTGATTCAGATATATTGTGAGAAGAAGAGATACATATGTTAATAAGACAGTTATGAAAATGAAGGTTTGTGGAAGGCTTAGGAGAGGGAAGTAATTTTATAAATTTTTATGTAATAAATTATAAGTAACTTATATAAATATGTATAATTATTAATGAATCAAATTTTTATTAATCAAAATAATTTCATATTTTGAAATCAAAATATGAAATCAAATTTTATTAATAAATTGTTTTGATATTAAAGGATGCACTCTCCTTGTTAATACAAGAATATTTTTTTGAAAATAAAGAAAATGTGGAACAAGAGTCTTCTTTGTTTGCTGACTTTCGTAATTCATTAAATAACAAACCAAGATTCTACGAATGCTTCAATGATTATGAAGAAATAAGAAGAATTCTGCAAAATGTAAATATTGAATAGATTTATGATCAATTTTAAATATAAGTATTCAGTAATATATTTTATATTTTAGAATAATTTTAAAAATAATATTTCAGTAATATTAAAGTCAATAATGTATATAATATTACATAAAATAGTACATTAACATTTTTGTCCTTTCAAGTATTTGCAATTTTAAAAAATTTCTACAATTAATAATTTTACTTTATTTCCATTGCTTAGTGAGTTCTATGATGTTCAGAATTTCCTATTATAAATTCATAAAAATGAGTGAATGAATCTGGAGGTGTCTGATTGTTATTATTGTTGTTCTATTTAATATGTATTTAATCAATTAAGTCCACTTTTAAGAGATTTTGTGCACATTATATGCATTTAAATGCAATTTTAAAGGGAGTTTGGTTTTAGCATTTAAATTGAGTTAAAGACTATTTTAAATAGTAACTACAAAGGAGTATCCAGGCACTCTGATAATCACATGATGTGAGGTCCAATGATCTTGGGACCACATCACTTGGACATTCTTTTTGTAGGGGTTACATAAAAGATAAAGTGTTTGTTCTACCATTGCCATGTGATATCTCCAAGCTAAAAGAGCATATCATCTCAGTAGTGTCAGCTATCAATTGATGCAGTGTCATCCATGGTGCACTTATTGAATATTTGTAAATGTTAAAAAAACCTTTCTGAGTTTCTGTCTCATCCAGTGTTGGTTTTGTTGAGGTAAATTCAGTATTCCTCTTGCAGTAACTTTTTGTAACTCTGAGAAACATTATGAAATAGCCTGTGTAATGACATGTAATGTGTAATTCAGTAGATATAACTAATGATAGAACAGAAAATTTTGTTGGATGGTTTGTGGTTGCATGCCATGTTGTCTGCTCTTGTTCTTCTGACAGTTTTCCCTGTTCTTTGTTTTTTTCCACATTCAAAAACTTTTTAATCTTCTTAATTAATTCTTCTTTCTTGGTGAGGGCCACTTTCTAGAATTTACCAATATATTGTTTACAAGGTTACCTGAGGGCATATGGGGTCATTTTTGAGTTGGTGGTTTAAAAGAGAGAATGACGAATGGAGAGACGTTAGTGTCTGGTCCCCAAGTAGATGGGTAAAGTCAGAATTTTGAGCAAGAACTTTGAAAACCACAGTTAATGTGTTACCTGAAGTTAATGTGTTACAGTCTGAATGTGTGACCAGCTATTGGAATCAAATATATGAAAACCCTCAAGAACTGAAGAAAAGGAAGACAGAAGTGAGAATTTTGTGTTTAAGAAGCTTTCATATGGCTTTTCATGGTAACAGCTGGGTAGTTTACACTACCCAGCTATTCTTTCCTATCCTACTTCTTGCCCATACTTACTATTTCCTTATAGGTATAAATTAGTGTTTAGGAAAAATTTTTGTAAATATTATCATCAGTTTCTTTTTGTACTAATCATGACAATTTTTGAAATTGTTCTACCAATGACCAGAATTGGAGTGACCATTAGTCAAAAACCTCTAGAGCTGGATTCCCTTTATAAGTTTACATTATTATTACATGTAATAAATTCATTTTTCCATCTACTGTGTGTGTTTTTTCGGAAAGTTTGCCCTCCTTGGTCAATGAAACCCTTTCATGATTATCACATGTTATATATAACACTACATGTGAATGATCTTTCATATAAGTTTCAGGAATATTCATACACAAAGCCAAAACCCAAATCATTAGCCAAACTTAAAATTGCTAGATTATTTTTCTGGCTAATAATAGAAACTAGCATAGAAAGTTATAAATTTGATTGAACATGTAATTTTATTTGCAATTGACTTCATTATGCATCTCCTACATGAAACAATATTCTACTGTTTTGTGACATGATAATTTTCAAATCCTTTGTGTCTTGTAAGTAAAATATATTGTCAAATGTTTATCCTCTCCCACCTATGTGACATAACAGACATTAGTAAGATTTGCTTGTAGATAGAAGTAAAATATGCATGCATTTCTATCTATAAATGCCAATGTATATTACTGGAACTTTCACGTGCATAATGCATATTTCTGGACTTTTTACCTGCATATGTTTGCTTATATATTGTGATTTTAAATGCATATAAAGCCAGCTCTTAATAATAATGAACTAACACTACACTTTGAAGTCAGTGGCATATGGTACCAACAAACCAGCAAAGTACCTTGTCAAACCTTTGCACTACCTCTCATGCATTTTCCATTCGTTTGATAATTTGATATAAGTATATAGTATATACTATATACTATATTATAAAATTTATTGTAATAAAATTCCTTTTAAAAAATCAGTACATATGAATTTAAAATTTTTCAGATCTTGAATCATTACAACAAACACTATATTCCAATGAATTTGATACTATTTAATAATGCACTTGAGCACATAATACATATTCATCGAGTGTTACGAATGGAAGATGGCCATTTATTATTGATTGGAACTAAAGGATGTGGAAAAAGAAGTTTGACTCGACTGGCAACATATGCTGCTAATTTGCAACTATTCGAAGTAAAGCCAGTATATTATTATAAAAAATCATTATTTGATGAAACTTTGAAGAATTTATATAAAAGCATAGTTTTAGAGAATCAGAAAATTGTTTTTTTATTTTCTGATGTGCATCTTGTAAATGAAGGTAAGTTACATTCATTAACTCAGAAATTTCTACATTTATTGTATAAAATAGTTTTTTTTATAAACAGTCAGTATTTTAATTTAAAACGAGCAGTTATTTATTGTGACATCATTACAATGCCAGACTGCAATGTTTAATCATATTTTTAATTTATTTCATTTAAAATATATGCTCTCCATCTCAAATTAGTACTGTAGTGTACTTTTTCTTTAACAATAGAGTTGTGCCAAATATCTATTAACTGCTTTCAGGGGAAAGTTTTGAGTTGAAATAACATGACTTTGGTTTGCATCAGAAGTTCAAATATAGTTAATTGGGGTTTCATGTCCCTAGGGTTTCCAAATCTGGTCTCGGATTCCATCTAACACTGTTCTTGAAATTAAGGAAAGACGGATGGACAGATGGATGACAGTGGAAATTTGTCTAAAATTTTTTCAAATTGAAGCCCAATTTCAATAGCTGAAAAAAAGCACTTTTAAAACAAAACAATTTTTTCTAATTTAACTTTTTGAAATGTTAGATGTTTGGATTTATTATAAATATCAAAATTTTAAAATAAATTTACTTCATAAAGAACCTTCTTAGTTTTTTACTTTCTTAAGGAAAACTGTTTTGAAATATAGAGAAAATTATTAAACAAAAAATATAGAATATATATATACAGTAGAGCGTCGATTATCCGAATCAATTGGGGACTGGGGTTGTTCAGAAGATCGATGTTTCGGATAACTGATTATGTATGAAAAAATATATTAATTTATCCCATCTTGACATTTTTCTCCGTTGCGTGTTGCTTTGCGTTGAATTTTCGTCAATGTGAAGCCTAACGAAGACTATTGTATCATTAAAAATTACTTTTTTATTTTGTACGAACAAAATAAATATATTGAAAAATATAAAAACAATAAAAAATTATACTTCAGAAGTTAATTTAGTATCAAAAACGTAAAATATTTGAGTAGCCCAAGACATAGCCAAAGATTGCAGCGCCACAGCACTGGCGAAAATTTAAATTTGC